AGAATCCAGGATTAAAATTTGTTCCTCTTTGTCCCCAAGTCTAGAGACATCTAGACAAATGAAACTAGTCCTGGATCTGACTTGCCAGGCCAGTCATCTAGGATTCTTGTAAGGGCTTAGGCATTTCCAGAAAATCAACACATTTACAGGCAGATTTCTAAATCTGGACCTATTCAGTTAAACATAATTCTGTAAGTGAAAGCTGTGATGTCACATAACTAGGAATAGCGTTGACATTTGCAATTACAAGCATGTCTTTCTTTTTTGGATATATTGCCATTATTTTCAGAGCTAAGAGGGACTCTGCAGATGATTGGATTCCCTCATTTTTCAGATAAAGAAACCTGAAACACAACAACAAATTCAGAACAAGGACCCACCTTGATCCCTAGATTTCTTGCCCTTCTTATCACAACACACAGCCTCTTTCTATTGATATTCCGTAGTCAAACAAAATTTTCTGAGGTAATAAATAATTTATATTAAGTACTACCAGACATGCACTATTTAAATGAGGCAGTAATCAACTGATTTGTGAAAGGTTTTTAAAAACAGGCACACCAGACTGCGTGTGCGCACAGTTGTGTCGGATTCTTTGCAGCCCCAGGGGACTGTAGCCCACCAGCCTCCACTGTCCACGGAACTTTCCAGGCAAGAATACTGGAGGAACATTGCCATTTCCTACTCCAGGGGATCTTTTTGACCCAGGGGTCAAACTGGAGTCTCTTGCATCTCCTGCATCGGCAGGCAGGTTCTTTACCACTGTGCCACCTGGGAAGCCCTTACACCAGGTGGTGCTCACCACAACTTTCCAAGTGTCCCATAACTTCATCTGGGAGGAAGAACATTCTTTCTCATTCACAGAAAGTAATTCATCATGGTCTTGATTTTCTCATGTTCTTAGTGCTATATAACTATTTAATCATTTTTTAAATTGCTATAATAATTCTGTCTCCTCTGTTTCTCTCTCTAAAAATAGTCATTTCCTTCATCTACTCATTTCAATGGCTTTTAAATACTGCTGTCTGCTCTCTGTTTCAGGAGTGACTTCCAGCTGCATCAGTTACACAGACCCCACCCGCAGTACCCTGCCTGACTTAACTCACTCAGATGCCGCCAGATCTGAGTAACTGGAGAGCTGAGCGTTTTCAGGGTCTGCATGTTAGCTCTGTGGTATAATGACTGATGTCAGCCCAAACTTTGCCAAACATCTCTCATCACTACTAGTGATGTCCCATTCCAAACTCTAGGGCTTGCTCTCTCTTTCTGGAGCATGCCTCCACCACCACCACGGCCCCCTACCCCCCCCTCACATATTTGCAGTATGGATTCAACAATATGACAGTCATTTTCTTTCCTTAAAGTGCCACTGCTGCAAGGGACAAAAATAACTTGTTACCGTTGTCACTGCCTGGGAGGGGGAAGTAAAGAAAGGAGAGATGAGAAGCTGCAATAACTAGTCTGGATGTGCTTAACCCTCTCTCTTTGTCCAAAACTCTTCTCTCCTCATGGGCTGACTCAAACTCCTGGTTATCTAAACTCCCTGGAACTGTAATGTTTTCTGGAGAAAAACAGACAGCAAGCAAAAGTTGACTTCTAGGCTAAGCCTATGGCTTTTAACTTGCGTTAGGCTTGGGCCCTAGAATCCATTGGCAGCCACATACTTCTGTGAGCATCGTTTTCTTGATTTAAAAAACAAAAACAAAAAACTATGTTGCACAAAATAGGCCATGGCAAGCTTTCCATAAGCTGCAAGGACAGTGGAGGGGACATAAGACTCAGCCAGGCAAGAAAATACGTATTTAATAGTATGATAACATGGATCAGGGAAAAGTTATTCTAATGCATAGCGTCAAGAAAGAATACACTCGCCATTTATTTAATGTTTTCCTTATGTTTCCTCAGAGCAGCACTTACTCCTTGACAAGCTTTTCCTGCCCACTGCATCTTTTTTGAGATGGCTCAGGAACTGTAGCTTCTCACTGTGTTTGCTTATTTATTGACAGGGCCATTCCTGCCCTTATCCAAATGAACGTATGTCTGCACAACACACAGTGAAAAGTAAATGTCTTTCTTCATGTTTATTTCCCTGAACTTGTTCACCAAATTGCTTTTTTACATCCCCTTTTTGCAACCTCACCCCATCCGGCTCAAGTATCCAGGATTAGAAAAGCCCTCTCTGGAGTCCTTTTCAAAGGGAGCCTCCCACAGCCTTTAAATCCCCACGTTTTATGGTGCAGATATTCAGGATCTGAGGCATTAAGGAAGAAGGAAAGCAAAGCTGGCTGAGAGGGGCACAGAAAACTAGAGTAGCTTCTTCCTTGGACAATCAGTATTGGAATTGTCCTGTTATCTGCAACTTTTCTGGTTCAAAATAATAGACTCAGTCATTTGGAACAGGACATTATGCAACAGATAAAGGAAGGGAGTGTGTGTGTGATGTATAGAAAATACAGCTCCACCATGGAAAGAGAAATGTTGCAAATGACAATATTTAAAATAAGCCCCAAAAGATCACCTTGATGGGTTGTTGTTTTCTGCAGAATAAAGAACCTAAATAAAACTATTTCTACTTTCAAAATTCCCATACAGGTATGCAAAGTAATAGATGATATTTAATTAAGGAATTCACAAGGAAAGGCCAGTCTCTCAGATTCTAATTTTTAGCACCTTCACAGGAGTGTTTATTTCATGTTCCCTTCCTATTGCTTCCAGGACATTTCATCTCCTCACTTTGGGAATGAATAACAGCTACATCTTCATAGACACACAACAATTTGAATGAAGCATTGCAAGCTTGCAAAATGGGATGGATAGAAGCAATCACTTTTTTTTCTCCTCTTATTCATCAACATATAAATTAAGGCAACCCAGTAAGAGGGATTACAAATGGATAAAACAGAGAAAAAGACAGATCTTACTGTTTTTCTGCAAGGCTTTAGCTATTTTCTAAGCCTAAATTTGCGAGCATAAGCATGAGCAAGATGTCTTTGAATCAGGGACTTTTTCAAAGCCACCTCTAAGAAGCCTGGGGCTGTGTAAAGTTGTAAGGCCATAGAGCAGAACCCTGCAGACAGTCTGAGTAATACAGCACAGAGAACAAATTAACATTAAAATCACTTTGGGGGGCTTGTGACTTTCAGCTTCTTCAGTAAGTACTGGAAGCTCTTCGACTTGTGGTACTGGAGAAAAGAGATGGGGCGCTACCACTGATTAATAAGAGCCTGGGTGTACCCTGCTCTGAAGGGCCAGCCCTCAACTTCCCTACCTCGGGTGGCGGGGTGGGCGGGGGGGGTGGGGGCGGCGGGGGGGGTGGGGGCGGCGGTGGGAGGGGGGCGAAGGCGCGGGAGAACAACGAATCTTATTTACTGCTGCCAAGGACCCCTACCTGCCCTGGGAATAGGAATAGCGGACCTTCTCCTCCTCCCCCCGCCCAAGCCGGGAAAAATCTTTCCCAAGATCATTCCCAGTCCCCCAGATGAGAAACCAAATTGCACACGAGATCTTCTGGAGAAGATTGAGAGAGAGAGAGCGGCGCAGAGCGAGGGCGAGCTGACTGCGGAGGGAACTGCCCGAGGGGAGGAGGAATCTTCCAGAGCCCCGGCAGAGACTCCCTTTGGGAGAAAGTCGCAGCACAGTTGAACTTCCAAATGGTGTGTGAGAGCACACACGTCTGAGACCGACCCGCGTCGGGCAGGTAACGGGCGGTCAAGCTGACCGCGAGTGTCCACCGAGATTCCTCCGGACCACCCGCCCTGCGCCCGACCAACTGCAGCGACTTTTATTGAAAAGAAAGAAAGGAAAGGAGAGAAGCAACCGAGGAGGGGCTCGAGAAGACGGGGAAGGAGTCCGCAGCCAGAAACCCTCCAGCGATCTGCCCCGGAGGGCGAGGAGCGAGCTGCCGTGCGGCCGGGGTTGCGCGCGGGCGCCGGGAGCCGAGGCGCGAGGGAGCCGGGACGCTCGGCCGCAGGGAGGAGCGGAGCGCGCCCGGCCTCGGGCGGCGGAGACCCGCCCAACTCGGGAGTCGGGCCCGGGGGTTGGGGAGGGGGGACGAGGGGCGGGGTGGTCTCGCGGCCGCTGGACCTTCCACCTCCACACTAGCAGCCGGAGCGCGCCCACCTCTCCCCGCGAGAGCCGCCCTTCGGAGGGGTTCCACTGCGCTCGCAGTGCCTCCTCCGCTCCCCCCGCCCCGGGCTCTCGTTCTCCCGCCTTCTTCGCCGCGTCCAGAGATGCTCCGCCGCAGACCCGGGACCCCTTAGGCGCCTCTTCCCGTGCCTCTGCCAAATCGCGACGCCTGTACTTTTCCAGCTCCCTCTTTCACTCTTGAAATTGAAAGTTATTGAGGTCGCTCGGGGTTGTTGCTCCAGCAGTTTCCTTCCCCGCCCCCAAGCTCCCCCCGCCCCCCGCAGCCGTCCCCCTCCTCCTCCCTCGCCCTGTCCCTCCCTCGCGGCCTCCCTCCTTCCCTCCCTCCACCAGTGGAGCGGCTCCTGCTTGCGAACGGCAGAAGCAGCTCGGGGTCTCTCCGCCGCCCCTTGGCAATGGCCGCAGTGCCCACGGCGCCCGCTCCCCTCCGTTCCCGGGACCCCCGCTGCTGCCGCCACCACCTCTAAAGCCCGAGGGGCCGCCACCGCCGCCACCGCCCGCCCGGATCCCGCGCAGCCGCGGCGCACCATGCTACCTGCGGCCACCCTGGCGAGGCCACTCGCTGCTTCTGGAACCCTCACTCGCGGCATTGACAGCCACCGCACGGGAGCCCCCGCAGCTCAGGGCTCGGACAGTTTGAAAGTACAATAGTTGGTTTCCCCGACCATCCGACCCCGCTGCGTTTGCCATCCCGGCTCGCCTGTCGGATCTGAGTGGAGAAGTTGTCCGCAGTTGGGGTTAGCGCTTGCTCTCTCCATTACGCCTAACACCTACGTGTATTTCTGAAACAGTCAATCTTAATTAACAATCAAAAGAAAAAAAAAGGAGCAAAGGAAGGGAAACATTATTGGGTTACTATGCACTTGCGACTGATTTCTTGGTTTTTTATCATTTTGAACTTTATGGAATACATCGGCAGCCAAAACGCCTCCCGGGGAAGGCGCCAGCGAAGAAGTAAGTGCAGGCTTTTTTACGCATTTGCTCCCTCCCGCCGCGTTCACCTGTCGGGTCGCTTTCCTTTAACTTCAGTCGGCTCACAGCAGCGGCAGTCCTCGCACCCACACCCCACGCCTGGAGAGGAGGTAACAGTTTAGGCTCCGGTGTGTCACGCCTTCCCCTCGGCGGCCCCTCTCTTGCCCCGCATCTTCCTGGGTGCCATAGCCCGGCGGACCCGGCGCTCCTGTGCCTCCCGCGCCCCCATAACCGCAGGTTAGCGGAAAAGTTCGCTCCTTGGTTAAGACCAGCTCAGGGGATGTGTGCTTTCCTCCCGAGACTGGGACCAGAGCCTCCAGCCCCCAGGCATCGCGGACGCCCGGCTGGCGGGGTGCCCCTGAGCCATTGAGTGCCCGGCGGGGGAGGCGCGGCCGCGGCGCCCGCTCACCTTGCGTCGCCGCCTCGCGTGGGGAGACCTCGCGGGGTCCTCCCGCGGCGCTGGGGTCGCGAAGAGCTCTCCCGCCACTCGGGAAACGGAGAGCCAGCGCCTGCGCGGCCGCTACCCTCAGCCACGCGCGAGTGGAACGGTAGGGCGCGCAGGGCGCTCTGGGTTCGCTTGCCTGCGCGCTGGCGGAGCCGCTCGGCGTACCCCTCGGGGGATCGCGAGGGCTGCCGAGCCAGCCGCTGGGAGCCAAGGGTGCCAGGTTTCCAAAAGTGGCAATCTTGCCTGTCACCCGGGAGGGCTTTTACCGTCTCAGGCCCTTTCAAGTGGGTCCCCTGGGGGCAGACACATACCAAGGGTGGGGTTCCCCTAAAGACTCTGGTTCGCCTCCTCGCTTCCCCTTATCCTGACTCCAGTTCCTCGGAAGGTTGGCTGGTGTAGCCTTCCTAGGACTGTGCGGTAGCTGGGATGAAACGGGTACCCCCAAGGGCACCCCCAACGCGGCTTGGTCTGTTTCGAGGTGGCGTCTTCCACAGATGAGATAAACCCGAGAAAGACACCTCTCCTTGCTCCCGGGAAGCCTGGCGCGCTGGGCGCTCTGGCTTCTGTGCAGAAGTGGGGTGTCCCTTCTTCGCAGATAGAGCCGGAGCGACCAGGGCTCCAGTGTAGGTAGCGCTGGCGGGGACCCGGAGGGAGAAATCTTCCCGGCGCAGAAAATGATGCTATTGCCTTAACCAACTCTGACCTCCGCCACCGGGGAGCCAATGACGCTTGGCGGCGCCTGCTCCGGCGCGCAGAGCCAGCTCCCAGCGCTGGCCCGCGAAGCCCCTCGGGGTACGCGTGGGTAACAGCGCAGAAGACACAGCGTGGGCTTGTGTGAGATGGAGATTTAGTAATCGCTTGTCCGCCGCTCTTTGTGCCCTGTCCCTGGACGTGAGGGTCCCCTGAAAGCTCCCTTTGTGCCACTTGCCTAAGGCAGACAAGGTTTGATTCACCTGAAAATTGTCTTTAAAAAACATAGCTGAGCCAAAGCGCCCGGGGCTCCCGCCAGCCTCGCTGCCTCTGGGTTCTCGTGGCAAGGGGCAGGAGGGCTTAATCTAAACACGTCAGGGCATCCGATTTGTTATTCTTGGCCTCTGAATGGTTGTAGTCTTCGAAACTCTTCCACCTACCCTTTCCCTCGAGCCTTGCGGCTGCCTCACAAAACAAATGGCTTGGGACTCGAGCCTTGCCCTGGTTCCTGGCAGACCCCAGGTCCCCTTCTTGCAAAGTCCGGCTCGAGGGACTGAGTCTCTCCCGCAGGTCCGTGGGGAGAAAGAGATGCTAGGCACAAGTGCAGCCTCCTGCCTTCCCATCCCTCTTCCAGCCAGTACCCCACCCGGCGCCCATGGCTCACACCCTCTTTCACCCTACCGAAGATCCCAGGGCAAGGAGCCCCGCAATTGCAGGGGAAGGACAGGGTCTTGCGTATCAGTGTTAGAGTTGTCTCCGATTTCGGGGTGGGGGGGGGGGCGGCTGTTTGCGATGAAATACACCGGCAAGAAAGCTGACCACCATTGGTTCTCACTTCCCCAGAGAGGACAGCGGTGCAGGAAGCTGCCCCGTGGTGCTGCCCCACGTCTTCTGGGAGCAGAGGGGGATGATGCACCTCTGGGCTTGGACTCAAGCGGATTTACAGAGTCTAAAGACGAGCCGCTTTTTGATCTGCCTTCATCGTCTCAAGGCCAAGTCAAAGGCGCCCTCTTGTGCAGCGGGGATGAGAGACGGAGTGGGTGGAACTGTGTTGAAATTCCGATTGTGCTGTGGGTGTGGGGCCGGGAGAGAATTCCCCTAGCAGGGGATGCTCCTTGCTCCTTCACGCTTGAGTCTTGCCTTTGCTACTGGGGTTTGCTGGTGCAATTATGGGAGAGGGGCGACCCCTTGCGTTCTTTAAGGAGACAGATTCTCTTGGCAGGTGTAGCATGGGGCTTGTTTGTTTTGAGAATGGAGAAGGGGAAAGAGGGGGAAGAGAGAGATTTGTTCAAAAATCCAGAAATTCAAGGTCAGATTGCATGTTCACATACTCGTTGTTTGGGAAATCTCTGGGGGGAAGAGTTTTCTCAAATAGGGACTGGTAAAAAGTTGTTTCAATGAAAAATAAGGTAGTAGAGGTATTCTAAAAAGAAACAGTCTTTCCCCTTTTTCGTCAAAAGACAAAGTATTTAAGGGTATCCATTTTGTCCTTAGAGTTAAATAGCTTCACTCTCCTAAACTTTAAAATCTTAACTAATGATAGAAAATTGAGGTGCATGCAAGAACTATTTTTTAAAAATTTTAAAGCGATCTCTTGAATGTTTTGGGGGAAAAGTTTCTTGCAAAAAAAATCATTTGCAGTGTTAAGTATTATTAAGTATAAGGAGCCATGACTAATGCTCAGATAAAGGAGATAAAGCTATATCAATAATCCCAGTTTCCCTCAGTCATCTGGTATACTGTTTATCTCTACTTTGTTGCAAACTAGCTTCTTGTTTCCTTTTATAGAAGGAACAACATTTTAAACAGGAGTTTGATACTCTAAAAAATACTTACTGGGTTATGGATAAGGATCTGCCTGCAATGCAGGAGATGTGGGTTCGATCAGGGGTCAGGAAGGTCCCCTGAAGAAGGAAATGGCAACCCCCTCCAGTATTCTTGCCTGGAAAATCCCATAGACAGAGGAGCCTGGCATGACAAGAGTCCATAACGTGACAAGAGTCAGACACAATTTATCATTTCCCGCTCAGCCTCTGCTACTTGATAGAGTTAGCTTCTGAATTCTAGATTATCTGCTAATAAAAGTAAAGGTTGTGCTTGCCATAATAACCACAATGTCTTACAATTGCACCACACTTTAACTTGAGTTATTTGCTAGGGACCCTATATAGCCACTTGAGGTATAGAGTCCGGTATTAATATACCCATTTTACAGGGAAAGAACCCAAGAAACAGGCTAAGTAATCTATGCAAAGCCATAAGATACTGAATGGAACTTGTCTCCTGCTACTTATACTATATGCTAATACATGTCTGAGAGTAGTTGTCAGGACTATTAGATAATAAATCTGATTGTCTCCAAACCATCATTTATCCTGTGTTTGGAGAATAAGCTCTTATGGTTGACTGGACATTTTTGAACTGTTCTTTATATGTATTATACATTAATGATCTGTGTCAAAGAGTTAAATACCTGATAGTTTGCTAAGTATAATATATTATTTGGTTATTAGGAAGACATTGTAGGTTCATATTATGCCGGAATACTATTGTGAGAAACATCAGATGCCATTATGGTATCCTTTTTATTTGATGCCATCTATTAATTCATTTTTAATTGCTTAGATTCCAGATAGATCCAAGTTTTGACAAGTCATTGTATGCACAATAATTACCAAGCACCCTTTGCACAATCTATAAAATTTTTAAAAAATATTTCATAAAGATGTTTGAAATAAAGGAGTAAGAACACAAGAGAAATCATTTTAATGGTGACAGACTGAAAAATGATGAATACAGTGGCATTGCTCGTGATATCTTGGCTGTTGAGCCATTCTCTGAAATTATGATATACTCTTGATGATTAGGGCTTCCCTGGTGGCTCAGAGGTTAAAGCGTTTGCCTGCAATGCAGGAGACCCGGGTTTGATCCCTGGGTCAGGAAGATCCCCTGGAGAAGGAAGTGGCAACCCACTCCAGTATTCTTGCCTAGAGAATCCCACGGACAGAGGAACCTGGTAGGCTACAGTCCATGGGGTCGCAAAGAGTTGGACACAACTGAGCGACTTCACTTCGCTTGATGATTACATAACTAACTTGGAAAATAACAGGTTAACTGTAAGACAGAAAAATCGCTCATTCTACTATACATTTTGTAATATTAATTTTGAATGAAAGTGGTCTGGTTTGGATATTGACTACAGTGCATTTTTTTCACTTGTCTACTTTTGTCACCAGTCTACCTTGTTTTTGAGAGAAACACTGTTTAATGGATGGAGATATGAGTAAAATTTGCTAGAGAAAATATATTCTGCAACATATCATATGATATCTTCATGAATCAAAGCCCCAAATTCAGACTCTTAAGTAAGCAGTGATGGCAACATCTAAATATAAGCAAAGATCTATTTTTGTGAATTCTAATTTAATCATTATTACACTATCAAAATCGTTTCTTAAAATATCTCTGTCATACTATTTTAATCCTTTATCACGTCAATAGAATGATTTTACTAAGAGCATTAAGAATGATAGTTTTTAAATATTGTCTCTTTAGTCCCAAGTTATTCTATGTAAAGTCATTGACAATATAATAGGCATAAAATTGATCAATGTCATTACTTTAGTATTTTCTAAGCATGAAATATGAACAGAAGTTTTGTTCAATCGTTTCTCCATTAAGTATTTCCTGGAATTTAATATTCTACAAATTAGGTCCCCAGAAAGTAATGAATGGGGAATTACAACATGTAGTTAATTTCGATTTTCAAATTATGGGGAGACTCTCGCCACACTACTGCAAAACAAGTTTATTAGTCATCTGATCACTTGAGGCTATTTTAATCTGA